GCATCCTTTCACCTAGCAATGTCCCTCTACTTGCCCAATCGTTCTTTGACCACGACAGGGCAATTAATCATGACGGTCACTCCACGTCTCTGTTATCCATTTAGGTGACTCCAAAAGCTTATGATATTAGCAAAGTGTATATTTACTTATAGACGACACATCAGCTATAAAACAATTTATTTAAAAACTTTAAATTGTTATAGAGAATGTAACTTTTTGCTATCTTTTAGCAGGTAACGGAGCTTATTGATGGCATCTTTAGTGGATGTTCCATGAACCATGCTATCGCAGATGGGACATCTTTATGGCATTTCTTAAAGGCATGGTCAGAGATTTTCAAAGTACAAGGACATAATAATATTACCATTTTCCACCCACCAGTTCACAAGCATATCAGCCTTCCCTTTACCCACCATGGTCAATTTATTAGCAGACATGAAGCTCCCCTACTGAGGTGACAGAGTCCATAGCAAAAATTAAAGCAAAGGCCAATTCAGAATGCAAGTCCAACAACATCTCCTCTTTGCAGGCCTTGTTGGCACATGTTTTGAGGTCCATGACACGGGTGTGCCGTCTACCACCTAACCAAAAAACCAGTTGTAGTATGGCCATTAATAACATCCCACCATATCCTCAGGACTACTTTGGAAATTCAATCCAGACGGTGAGAGGAATCGCCACAGCTTGAGATCTGCTTGAATACAATCTTGGGTGGGCAGCTTCACTATTACATCAAGTGACTAATCACAATGACAATGCAATAAGAGAGGGGTGAGGCATGGCTTCAGTCTCCCTTCATATACCAACTAGGACAGTTCTTGGATCCCTGCAGCGTTACAATGGGAAGCTCACTGCGTTTTGACATGTATGGGAATGACTTCAAATTGTGGAAAGGAGGAAGCATGGATTTGGAGTTGTGTCTTTTACAATTTTACCAGATTCAATGAGTGCTGTTGAATCTGATGAGGAGTTCGCGGAGGCCATCCTTTCATCTAATGATATGTACTAATTCACAATTTTTATGTTGAATGCTTCATTTTGCCTTATCACACCAAGCATGCATGGATTGAATGGTTCAATGGATTGACTAGTTTTATGTGAAATTACTTGATTTTGTCTTAGTGGTATTACTACTAGTCTTCTAATCTTGTTACTATCATGGATAAGGTAGCTTCTTGTAGCTGTTTTAAAATTTAGTAGCAGCAATATAAAACAAAAAGTCCTAAGTAATGTTTCCAGTCAGCATATATGTTGTATATGGTGTGTGTGTGTGTGTGTAAAACCAGTTTGTAGTTTGAGCTGCCACTTAGATGAGAAAAGTGATGCCTTAACTTTTCTCGTAGGCAAAAATGACTATGTAACTGTTTATTAAGGCCTCGTGACTTAGTGGTATCTCTTCTACCTCCTAAAGTAGATGGTGAGGGTTCGAGTCTTTAAAAGAGCAAAGTGGGTGTGTGAGTAGTGTATGTGAATTTTTTGCCAATGACAAAATAATAATAATAATAATAATAAATAATAAATAATTACAATATTATAAAGGGAATTACTCAAAGGGAGGCAAGGAAAAAGAAAAAAACTACCAAAAAGTTTGAAAAGAATCAAAACAGCAGGAGAGATAAAAGCCCAAACCCACAAAAAGGTGATCCCAATCAAAAAGTCAAGAAAGAAAAGGGTTAGAAAACATATTTAAGAGGTTGAATATTCATCGATTATGGGGTGAGACTTAGATCTCAAAAGAAAAGACAATTGAATATTAATTTGTGCTTGGAGTAGTACAACGTGACCCAACTCAAATTCGAGAATATATACGTTATTGTGTTACAATTTTACAATCCTCGTGTAATGGCTTGAGCGTGCACATGTCAAAAAATTTCAAATGCAAATTGAGGATTCGTTCTCACTAGACAAATGGGTGTGTTTGGTTTGGTGGTTTATTTGTTTATTTTCTTTTTTCTTTTTTTATAAAATAAAACAAAAAAAACAAAAAAAAACAACAACAACAACGACAACAACATTTATTTGGAGGGGAAGTAAAAGGTTATTTGCCAATTTGTTCTTATTTTGCCTTATCTTTCATCCATTCATAGTCTTTTTTATGGCTCTCTTTTCATTTAAAGGGCTCAATCCCCCTTAATCTAGAGAGATTAATTTTAATGCATCTCCGAATAGATGCGGTCAAAATTCAACTTTCAATGAATGAAAATGATTATCAAATTGACTTAATGTAATTATAAACAATTATGTTATTATTCAAATCTCTCTAGGTGTTAAAAATAATAATAATAATAATCTCTCTTTCTCACCACCGCACAAAATTTATTACTATTACTATTTATTTTTTATTTATTAAAAAAATATATCTCAACACAACCTCTGAAGCTTTACCCAATTTAAGTTGTTACCTAAGTCCTCGTTTGGGGAAATGACTCCCCTAATCCTTGGTCCTAAAATTTTGTTTTTCTTATTCTCCAAATAACTACTTTTTAATATATATATATATATATAAGGCTCATTATAGGTTTTTTGATTTAATATATAAGTATCTCTAATTGCAAGTGTTGTGTTATTTTAGTAATTGAGCTGTTGGGAGTTCGTGTTCAAGAATATTTACTATGTAGTATCTTGTATAATGAATATTATAATGTGTGAGCCGGACATAATAATTTCTCTTAATAATAAAAAATAGTAATTTACTATTTTGTATGGGTACCATATTACCGGTTTGTATCTGTTCTTCTATTATTTTTCTCACATAATTTTTCATAATTTAAATAAGGTGTTTTTATTGAATAACTAGTGTTACAATCTACAACTTTTTTTTATTTGAAAACCTGAATTTGCGAGTTTAGCTTTGTTTTGAGACCCAATATATATATATATATATATACTAGAAAAAATCACGTGCAATGCACGTAAATATAATGTTTGTAAACATTATGAAATATTATATATATATATATATATATATATATATATATATTACATTATTAACAAATTTATGAAATCATAGCAACCTTCAAAATTTAGTTAAAAAAACTTTAAAGAGATAAAGAGAGTTTGTGTTTGTTTGCTTATGCATATAAAAGAAAAGTGTGAAAAAATTGCCTTCAAAAATAAAAAATTATGTATATATATATTAGAATCAACTTTATGAAATTGCAAAGAAAATCCTTTTAATACCTTGAAGAAATAAAGAAGTTCATGGAAAAATTTTCATGCGTGCCAATGAAAAAAAAAAAATCTAGAAAGATTATCTAAAACATGAAAAGTCACGTTTATTAATAAACGCTTTAATAATCATTAGAAAGAAATCTAAACATGAAAAGTCAAGAAAATAATTATTTATTAAAATAATTGTTTTAATAACCATTAAAAAGAAATCTAAAAGGACAACTCTTAAATAACAGTTAGCTAGCAGCCAATTATTATAAAACCTAATTTTAAAAAGATAACTCTTAAAGCATAAAAATTCAAATAAATAATTTTTAAATTAAAAGATCTATAGGTACTTTAAAATGTATATAAATTTTATAAATCCAAATAAAGCTGTAGATTTTTAAAATAATAATAATAGTTTAAATGTGCATAAATTTTAAAAATTTATGCAACATTGCTAGTGATCATTAAGATTGGCAAAGAGAGGGAAATGATTCACCAGTCACTTTCGAAACAAAAAAGAATGAATTTTAAAATGTAAATAAAAATATATAATTAATAATTCATAAAATATTTATATAATTTATTCTCATAGGATTTACTACATAAAATAACTAAAAAAATTATTAAAATAATAGAACAACAAACATTACACAATCTTTTCTTTGTTTTAGTGCTTTAAAGTTCTCACCCCTCATCACGTCCAGTGCTTTGATATTGCAACTCCTTCTCTAATGTGAGCACTTTAAAATTTTAAAAAAGAAATTAGAAAAAAAAACTGCCATATGAATTTAAGATATACATTATGCGCAATAAAAGTTCAAAAAAATAAAAAAAAATTCAAGATCTCATGTCATGAGAAACTCATCTTCATCTATGACTCAATAGCGTTATCTATTTTCTTAAGATGGATAATGTTAATATGTATTGTGTATTATCATAAATCATCTGAACCTCACAACATAAAATTTTAATAACACATGACAAACAGATTTCATCATTAAAAACATTAGAAGAGAAATAAAATAATGAATAATAAATATTATACATATATATTAACAAGAAACATACATTCCGAAAAATAAGGCTGCGACTTGCAACTTGCAATTGATGCATATGAACAGAATCATCACTCTCGTCTTTTTCAAAGTTGTCGTTTGAACATTAGAAAAAAACCTCTGAGAAGAACTTTTTGCATAGACACGTAGAAAGGGAAAGATAGTTTGCAACATGAGTTCAACTTAGGCATCATTTATATAAGATATATAGAAGAGATATATACAGATAAATGAAAAATCTGAATATAAAAGACATTATAGAAGTTATAACTAATGGGGTTCTACAATCGTGAAGTTTCAAACAACAGCTAAAAACTGAAACGACATTTATAAAATATTGAAATTGAGTATATATTATTATTACCAAACAGTGTATATTAAAAATCCAAATATAATACACTTTTATAACAGTCGTGTAATTTCAAACAATAACTTAATTAAAACTGAAATGACGCTTATTAAAATCAAGTATATATTATTATTATCAAAAAGCGTATATTAAAAATCCAAATATAACACAGTCGTGTAGTTTCAAACAACTTGGTTAAAACTGAAACGATGCTTATAAAATATTAAAATCGAGTATATATTATTATTACCAAAATGTGTATATAAAAAATATAATGAGAATACACTTTTATAGGGTAAATAAATATATATATATATATATATATAATAATAGTAATAATAATAATAATAATTAAATAATTAATAATTAAATAATGTAAACCATTAACACTTAAATGTTGCACAAATCATAAACCTGGCTGCGCATTGGCTCACACCAAAATCAAGCCCCCAATAAAAACCCCTGAAAAGGTTTGTGTCCTTTACAAAACCCTTCCCTCTCTCTCATTCCTCTCGCTTTCTCTCTCTAAACCACTGTTACAAAAATCGAATGAACGCAACTCTCAGTTTCATGGGAGATCCGAAAAACAGAAAAATGGCGTCCTTTTCACGCCCCCACTGTTGCCGATTCTATCCTTCCGAAGCCCAACTCCTATGCTACCACCTCAGTAGCAAGAACGCCGATGATCGCCGATTCGGGTGCGATTTGATCCGAGAAATTGATCTCTACGGTCACGACCCGTTCGATTTGCCCGAATCCTCTTGCTTCCGCTTCGGCCGTGGAGGGAGGAAGAGGTACTGGTACTGTTACGCGGCGAGGGTTTTGAAGGAGAGAGGGAGGAGGAGGGCCGGTGGTGGGTACTGGAAGAGTAGGGGTAGGGTCAGGGATGTGTATTCCGGTGCAGGGAAGGTTGTGGTGGGGACTAGGAGGACTTTTGTGTTCTATTTGGGGAATTCCCCAAAAACTGCCAAGCGGACCCATTTGGTTATGTATGAATATACCCCAATTGATCATAATCAGGTATTTCCTTACTCTGATTCTCCTTTTCCTTTGTTTTTGATATAATTTTTGGTTTTATTATGTTGGATTGTGATTATGTGAAGGAATTATGTGTATTAGGGTCCAGTTTTGGGGCTATTAATTAGATTTGGGGGAATTGTTTTTGGTTCTCTTAAATTATATTGATTAGTGTGGCAGGAGAGATTGATTGTGAAGCATTATTGTTTGAATGAAAATTTAAAGCTTTTTGTTCCATTTTACTTAAAACAAAAAATGGCTGAGTTTTCCTGCAATAATTGTCCTCACTTGACAATGATTTTTCTTAGATAAAACCAGAGACAACGGCTCTTAAAATATATCTTCGTATCCAATGTTTATAGAGACATCTTAGGTTTGTATGTTAGGAAACAATTGTCACCTTGAGGAAATTCCCATCTTTCCACTCAAACGTGCTAGAATTAGGTATATAAACTAAGAATCCTTTGATCCTTACTCTTGGTCTTTAGTAGTTATGCATCTAGCATGAACTATTTTGATGGATGTGAATACACCCATCATGATAGCATTAGATATACACACATTGAATAATTGAAACTTTATTACTAATTGTCCAAAATAAAATAAAATATAACAGTCTATGCTACATCATGAAGCCTACCTTGTGACTGTCGTAAAACTGTGCATTTCTTATTAGATAATACTCCACAGCTCTTGCTCTATGATGACCCCAAATTGGACGAGTAATGTCCGCTTGCCATCTCCCCGATTGAATAGATAGCTACTGCACACTTGCTTCATTCTCCGATTGAATAGATAGCTCCTGCAGCACTTGCTTCATTCTCTGCATTGAAAGGTGGCAGCTACATGTCAGTATAAGCTCGACAAGAGATAGTGATTTAGCTGTTGCGAGCTCCTTGCTTTGAGCTAGTCCCGTCCCTGTATAATAAGACATCAGTCTAGTCCCAATGCTTGACAAATGGTATATTTTATTCGTGAGCTGTGACCTTTTATTCAAACTTTGTCCAAGGAAGTGTACTTGCTTGAGATAATATTTGTAATTTGATCTTCTTTAGATGGGAATACGGTCTGGTTTTGTTTTGTGTTCATAACTTTATGTCCTGCTTGTGATATCTTATTAGCATTTGGTTTAGATTAGAAACAAGTTAAAGCGTCATGTCTTATGCCAATTAAGTTGTGGTTTCATCTTGAAAGTTCTGCGGCGGTAGTATTATTCTGTCCAATTGGGATTTGAAAAGGCACAAGCCACAAGGGGAAATGGGGTTTTTGGAATGGGGGCTGTTTCCATTGCGTTTTCATTTGTTTCTGTTATGAACAATTTGATCTTTACTCTTGCAGGCTTCCTTTGTTCTATGCCGGATATTTGTTAAATCTCATGGTGTAAATAACATATTAGATCATGTTCTAAGTTCTTGTGGTGAAGAAAGTGTTGCAACCGTACGTCACATTGGTATTCAGTATGATGGGACCGTGCATGATGACAATTCTGTTGAAAGGAAGAACGAGGTTTTGAGATTTCCAATGGGACTGGTTGATGAGCTTGATGACAGAGTTCCTGCTGAGACTGTGGCTGTTGCCAGCTTTCAACTTCCTTCTAGCACACAGCCTAATGAGCCGGTATTTTTATTTCACACAATTTCTCCTCTTAGATCAAAGATGATTGTATCAAATTTATTACTTTTTTTAAAAAAATTTATTTCAAGCTTTTTTTTTGTGTCTTTCATTGTCCATTGCATGATAAGGTTTTACGAATCTACATAATTTAAATAATGCACATATGACTTACCAAGAAAATTAATGATGAACACCTATTTTAGTATCTATAAAGTATAAACCAATCCCTCAATTTGTGTAAAATTGTAAGACATGCAGATTAGTATAGCTTAGCATACATGAAACCTAAATTTATCTTCCTCCAATATATTAGCTCCGTTGGTTACCATGGTGTGGTGAATTTTTTGCAGGTGATGTCGTCTGGGCTTAGCGGCAATGGCACGGTTCATTGATGATTTGGCTACTCAGCAATTAATAGCAATGTTAGAAGACAACTATATAGAACTATATAGAGTTGGATGATCTTTTATGCCCATCTTCAGGTTGTTCGGTCTCCGCGCTTGGGGCCGGGAGTGCTTGGTCGCAGGATCAATTTCAATGCTGAGGTTGAACTCATAGTTCAAAAACCTGAAATCCCCACTGGGACATTTAATGGAGCAACATATCTGCCAATTATGAAGTTACCAGTGATGTGGGGCATTCTTGTTCTGCCCATTAAGGTAGTCATTTTGAAATTTCTAAGATTGTTAAGATTGTTCCGGTCAATCTTAATCAAGCAACAAATTTGTGACTTTCTCTTGTTTGTGTGCGCAGATTGCTTTTCGTGCCTTATTGCAAGCATTCTCTCTCCAATGAGATAGAGGAGGAGACTCAGACGTCGGGAAAAAATTTACTTACAGTATCAACTGCATTACCTGATTTGATCATCATACATCGGCTGTTCTCTTGATGGTGGAGTTTTTACTCTAAACCACTTTGGTTATTGGGAAAGTCTCCTTTCCTTTCCACCTCTCTAGTTTTTTCCTTGCTAGTATTTATCTGCTTAGCAAGACATTTTTTCCTGTAGCTTGGTATTTTTTCACTTTCTGAATTTTCTTGTGTGCTTATAAATATTGTAAGTGATGGATATTATAGTAGATCTGGATATATATAAATGGTTTGTTGAATTATTTCCGGAATGATTTAGGAAAAAAAATATATATTTCCGGAATGGACAATACCTATTATATTTTGATTTTTGTGTATGTGCTGTGTGTGGTTGGCTAGTTTGGTTGAACGTGGATTATTGGTTGCTCAATCCAAACATGGTTTGTTGTGGAACCTTCGTCCAGTGTGTGTGTGTGTGTGTGTGTGTTTGTGTTTGTGTTTGTTTTTGGGTTTAAATATGTTTGATTAGAACGATATAAGTTGGTGCTGCACTTTATAGTAACAGATGGTAGAGGTGGGGTGGGGTGTGATGATGTTGGCAGTCCTTGCCACCATTTTATACATCATTAAATCAGCATGTGGTAAGGATTCATCATATTGATCTCAATGTCCTTTTCATCATTTTGCTTTAGACATTCTTCTCTTCAGCAACTCACACCCTACTTGCCATTTAGAACGCTCAAATTTTGAGTTTTACAGATTTGTGAATGTCATTTTAGGGGTAGCTATGAGGCAATCTTGATCCCCCTACTTTTTGTTAGTCTCGTGTGACAACAACCCTTTATTTATTTATTTTATATATCTCTTGATTCCTTTTCTTGTCTTATCTTCTATCTTCTTTTTCTTTTTTTCTTTTTCTTTCTTTTCATATATATACTTTTATAATTCTATAAATTGGAGTAAATACTCGCTGAAAAAAAAATCACCAAAGGTCACTTGCATATAATGTAGCACATTTTAAATGGGGTAAAGTGCAAAAAAAATCCTTTGATGTATACGGAAGGTGCAAATACCCCCTTAGTGTTGAAAAAAAAAAAAAAAAAAACCATCATTTTTAAATTGAGCAAATAAGGACAATGCTTTAATTTGAAGATGGGAATATCTAAAACACCCTTGAGGCAAATAAATATTAAAAAAAATTTGATTTCAAAAGTTTGTGATTTTTATTAAAATTTTGGAGTCTAGTGGGTATTTTAAAGTTTTTACAAAAAAATTCTCAATTTTTGGGGTTTTTATGAAAAATTAAAGATGAAAATACGTAAAATGCCCTAAAAAAATTATTCATTAAAATAAACTCACAATTGTACAAATCTCAAAAATAAAAAAAATAAAAAAAAATAAATAAATAAAAACAGTATCATTTCCATGTGCATAATAAGTACCACTTATACAAATTCCAGCTCCCTTCTTCATATGGTTAGAGATGGCAATGGAGGCGGAGGTGGGTCATTCAAATTCTTGTGTTTCTGCATCCCAACCTGATTGAATTACCACACCACCTACCTTTCAAGAGATTGAGAGAAAATTTAAGGATTCAGTCAATGATTGACAGTCCCTGTAAATCTTATTTAAGTAAATTCGGCACTAACATCCAGTGTCTACACTAAATTAGTTTTTTTTTTTTTCTCTCCCTATTTTGATTCACAGTTGCATATTAAAATTTTGGCATCTTTAAAATTTGTTTTTACGTTTCAAGAAGAATTTAGTATTCAAACTCATATTAAATTTATAAATATTCTTTTCTACATTTTCGTGAAAACAGAGTTTGAGAAAAATTCAGTATTCAAACTCACATTGAATTCATAAATGTTGTTTTCTATATTTCTGTGAAAACAAAGTTCGGGGAAGAATTCAGTATTTAAACTCATAAACTTATAAAAATACTGCGTTCAGATAGTTCCGTGAAAATAGACTTTTTTTAAACATAGTTTGAAAAAATAGTTTCAATTTTTTTTTTTTTTTTACAAGGCAAGAAGTGTTAGAATTTATATTAGTAAATGTAGAGACAACCTCTATGTCAAATAAATTATTGGTTTAGTTGCTTTTTTTCTTTTTTGGGCAGTAAATCAAAAACTTGAATCTATAATTATTCAACTGCATATATATATATATATATATTTCCTTTCTACCTTTTTCTTCCTAGTTAAGAACCAAAAAAAAAAAACTATTATCAGAAAACTGAACCAAACAAACTCTCTTAAATTTTTTAAAAATTTCTCTACTTAATAAATTATTGAGATAGTTGCTTTTTCTTTTTTTCTTTTTGAATGATAAATCAAATATCCAAATCTATTATTAGTCAATTGGATTTTTTTTTATTTTTCTTCCTTCTTTCTTCTCCTTAAAAAAGAGGGAACCACATTTGGAGTGGGTTTTTACTTTTTTGCCCCATTGAAGGTATGGAAAAACAACAACAATATTTACTTATGGTCAAAGATAATAATTTGAAAGCAGATATGATGTCATGATCAAATATTTAAGGAGTGTACATATGGAATGTATTTGGAAGCTTGTTTTTGTGGCCTAAATAAAACATAGAAACAAGAAGATAAAAAGCAAAGCAACCACCTTTGAAATGAGTGGGAAGAGAAGCCATTAATATGCCTGATGACTCCCAACATTAAAAAGGCCCACGTTATGATATATGAACCAACGGCGTGGTTGGGGTGCGATTAAAAGGAACTTGGACCCTTAACACCCCGTTCACACTTCGCACCCCCCTTTTTCAAACCCTCTAAACACTGTATTTGGCACAGTTTCAGTGGTCTTAGTTGATAGAGTGCACAACTTCTCGAACGGATGTACTCGTTCAAATCTCCTTCTCTTAATTTGCCAGATAAAATAATGTATTTGTGCTCTGCAGAGAATATTGGTACGTTAAGAAAATATTGAGTTGTAAAACCAAGCGTTATAACATTTTCATAACGTGTATCACTGATTCTCCTCACCAACTAAGACGGATTAAGAGAGGATTTTAATCCCTTAACCACTATATTTGAATTTTAGAATGAGGGATTTGATAGACAAGAAGAGAATTTCATTAAAAAATAATAGTTGAATTTTGATCATTCCATATGTGAATTCTCAAGCTGTAATTAGATTCTTATGATTTTGGCTTAATTGGTAGAGTGAATAACCACGAGCGGGTATGCCGGTGTTCAAATCCCCCTCCCCTAATTTGCTAAAATATATATATATATATATATATCATTTGGGAATCCCTCTCTCTAAAATGGTAGCATGTAATATAATTCTATTCAAAATGAACACTTTTTTTTTATACTACCAATTTATCGTTTAATTTCATACAACCAAATATAGCATAAAGAAAAAATAATAAAGGATAAAAACTTTCATTATATGTTTTCCGAATACCTACTTCACTGATTTACCGTGCAACTATCAAGATCTATATACTTATAATATTTATAATTAATTGAAAAAATATTTATACCTTGCTTAGAAAAAATATATATATTTATAATTAATGATCTATCAAGTATTCAATATATATACTTATTGTTTCAAAATTTTAGTCCCTTTTTTAGAATTCTAACTCTTTAAAGAGATATGCATGAATTATTCTCCTTTGAAATTCCAAAACTACTAATTTTGAAATTTAAAGGTTATTATTGTTAGAAATATTTTTTTTAAAAGTTTAAAGGTATTTTTAGAAATTATAGAATCTTTTTACATAAATTTTTAAAAGGGACAATAAAACATAAATTTTACGACATCCAAATATGCTATTAGAAAAAAGAAAAAGAAAGGAAAGGGGGTATATATTACTTAATAATAATAAAGTGTGGTAGAATTTTAAGTATTGATGGTGAATGAGTCCATAATGGATGGTTAAATTTGTACTAGAGTTTTTAAGTATCGGAAATAACTATCTACCCTCTTTTGCCATCCAAAAATGTGGGTAGGGATTAATCAACACATGCTTAAAATAATATATATTTTTTTTTTTCAAAGCATCACTCAGTAGCAAATCTGTCACCAACTCACCAACCCCTCAAGATCCTAGAGAGAGAAATTACCCAACTTTTTGAACCAAAAAACAAAAAAAAAAACCTAAGAAATAGCATAATCCAAGACATAAAGGGGATATGAGAGTGAATTTGAGAGAGTGAGAGCGAATTCAAGAGAGGAACATAAAAGTGACAAAATTAAATTATAAGCAATGAAAATTTAAATAAGAGAGGGCAGAGAGTAGAAGGAAAGCACGTTCTGAAAACGACACCTATTAAAAAAAGATGGTATAACCTAGAACATAATCATACAAAATACGGAATATATAAATATGAATATATATACAAATTATACACAAGAGACATCTATATAAATCAAAAAAGTTTAAGAAGATGCATGTGATGCAAGGGTAAACAGGTGCTTGGCGTGAAGAAGAAAACGAGAGAGGGAGGGGGGCCTTCACCTCGCATTGGAAGATGGAATTTAATTTTAGAGAGAGAAAGTAGAGAGAGAAAGGAGTAGAGAGAGAGAGAAAAGGGGGCAGAGAGGAGAAGACCAGAGCCATTTGGTAAGCGGCCCAACAGGACACCTTTGTTTTATCATCAATTCTTTGTTTGGAAACTGCTATGCGCCTATTATGACTTTATAGCTCTTTCTCTCTCTCTCTTTCTCGCTCTATCTCTGGGTTATTTGGTAAATTTAAAGACTACTGTCCTCTTTAATCCACCGCACCTCTCTCTCTCTCTCTAATATACACAACATTTCATTCTATATCTCCTTCAAACTCCTCCTTCTCTCTCTCTTCCTTCCCTTGCTCGGTGAGTCGTTTTCTCTCATTCTCTCTCTTATCTTTCTTATCTCTAGAGAGAGAAAATTAGAAAAATTAAGAAAAAGATGCTGAAGGCCAAGAGAGATGTTGATTTATTTCTCATTTCTCAAAGTCTCTAATGCTATTTTATTTTTAAAATTTTTTTTTGCAGGTCTTCAGTGTAGATCCATCGGTCCATCTGCTATCATTTTGCTGGTGGGTTTTTAGATTCATGGTTATTTTTCTCCATTTTTTGACCGATTTATGGTGTTTGTTGTGTTTATCCCTTATTTTGTTTATTTTTTTTTTGGTAGATTCTTATTTTTATTATTTTATTTTGGGTTTCATCTGCAAAGATTTCATTTTTTTTCGAAGAGTGGTTCAAATCATTTTTATTGACATGTTTGAAAAAAAAAAAAAAAAGATTCTTGCTTTTTATTTATTTTTATTTTTTATAATCTGGGTTTTTACTCTTTTATTTGTTCTATATGTTTTCTGTTAGCTGTTTGACTAGTTCGATCCTTTGATACAAGGGTAATTTGAGAATGGAATGTGCTCCACAGCTTCACTAGTTTTACCGAAAATTGATGATCTTGCAAAGATGATCCTTATCTGAATGTATTTTCCTATTTATATGTGTTTCAACAGCTGATTGATTAAGTTTAGATTTGATATGCTAATGGGTGCCTGGTTCTTTTTTGCCATTAGGTGGGCCTTGAATTTCTATGTTGATGTGGTGTTGTTGTCTAGTTGTTGTGCTTCATTGTCTCTGTACTTGGGCCTAAAGATTATCATTGTAGGCATATATTTTTTCTTCTTGATGATTAAAGATGTGGCATTTATCAATGTAATTGTTGTTAGCAGAATAAGTTCAATACATTTTATTTTTTATTTTTGAAAAAATGTGATGGCAGTAAGCATCTTATGGAGAGAAATAGTGTCATTTAGAAAGTGAACTTTTTTGCAGAATGAGATGATAACAAGTTTGTGTTGAGATATGGTGTCACTGGTAGCTCTAGGAAGCTTACAATGATGTTATCGAAGGTTTTTTGTTGGAGGATGTGGTAAATGCATGTATTTCTTGTATGACACAAGACTATCACATTAGATAGACCTGATTGCAGAACTAAGATTCTTGCAGCCATCTCAAGTAGTTGGCTGTGCATCTTATTTGAGAGAAAATTTAATAGTTGGTTGAGTTGTCATATGCTTGATTAAAACTTGCTTTTGCTTTTATAGATTGTCATATTGTGGTATAGAGGTGGAGCACTTCTAGTTATTTCATTGCTATTCACTGGGCATATCATGTGTTATTGTCTCTCTACTCCTTTTCTTGAGAATCCATCGCCCTTTATTTGACTTCTCTGATCCTATTGCTTGTTATTTTATGCTCTTCTGCCATTCAGAGGACAATTGTTGTAAATTATCCTTTATATGATAGCAACTTTGAGGTTTGGGGATATAATGGCCTTCAGGCGAGATATTTTCTTGTACCAATTATTGACTTTAAAGCCTTCTTTAAAGTATGTATCTATATATATATATATATATATATATATATATATATATATTTTATGATAGCAACTTTGAGCTTTGGGGATATAATGGTCTTCAGGCCAGATATTTTTCATGTACCAATTATTGGCTTTATAGCCTTCTTAAAAGAAGATATATATATTTAGTTCTAAGAAATTGTTAAGCCTGTTATTTGTTGTTTATGCCTGAATAAATGGCTTAAATAATTGCAATTCTTTTTTCATTTCTTAGTTTCTCATGGTGATTTTATGTTACATGGTATTATTGTTTTGCTCAGATCTAAAATTATTGGTAATTACCATCTTTTTTGTGGTTTCAGATCTGACAAGAAGTCCTGTTCGTGACGTACTGTTTCTGTTGGAATATCTTTGGGATCTGTTCTGATTTTTTGAACGAAGTATATCACAGCCCTAATGCAAGGGCAGAGGAGTACTCTAGGTTCGCTGCCTGAGGCATTAAACTTTGATCATGGTTCTACATCAAGTCATGCAGATACAGATCAGCAGGTTTGCTGGAATAGTATTCAAAATTCTGTGCATAACCGGCTACCAGACTATGTAATGACACCCAATAACACAAGTATTACATATCTGAATGCTACTAATCGAGAAGGGCAGAACTTAAGTGGATGGAATTTAGGTGAGCCCAGTTCTAGAGTCACACAAAACCAGGCCATCTTTAATGAAAGGAAAATAGAGCATGGATTGTCATCTTCAATGAGTTCGTTCGCTGGACCTGGTCCAATCATGGAAGAACGACAATATGAACCAACCGATATGCTTTCACTGAACAATGTTAATTTAAACCTTAGTGGCCATCAGATTGCAAATGGGCCTTTGTTTGTGCAGAATTCTAGTTCTGATGCTATTCCTCAGGATCTTAACATTAATGCAGCATTTGTAGAACCTGATGTTGATGATTGTCAAATCATGGAATGTCCCAGTTTGGAGAAGTCTGTTGGATCAGAGAATGCACGAATTTCTTCTGCTAGTAGTTCTTCTTATCCTTTTGGGGTGCCTCCTGGAACTGCAGGATATTCGGTGGAAGAAAGTGATGGCAGGCCAGGCTGTTCATCGGAGGGTCGCCGCCTATCCTGTAAAAGAAAAGCTCTTGAAGGAAATGTTGGACAATCTTCTATAAGTGGAAGTCCGAGCTACTTTCAGTGTACAGAAAATAGTTCGTTGCATGCTGTTCCTGCTCGCTATAATGCCTTCAGCAGCTCAAGTATATCAACACCAGCAGAACATGATCTTCGCGTTCGTCCTTTGGAACAGGTGAACCCAAGACTTGGACTTGGTGTGGGAGGAGCTACTTCAGAAACCCCTTTTGCTTTAAATGTGGCAGGAAGTGCAGAAAGCTCTAGGAGAAATTTCCGTATGAGGATAAATCCTTCACATCAACATGATCCTGTACCCAACGATGTATTTTCATCAGGGAATGCAATTGGGCAAACTAATTTTATGTCATCCCAACACTCATCGAGGTTTCTTCCCCTTAATAATTCTTTGGACTTAAGGTCAGCACCATTAACAGACAATACAAGTCTTCAAAGGCAGTCTGCTGTTGTGCACGTTCCTCCTTCGCGACGAAATCTACAATCATCTAGGTGGAGTGGAGGTTCAAGCTCAAGACCTGGCAATTCATCAGGTTCTGAAGTAGAAGCGGCACCACATGAGGAACCCAACTCAACAAGTATGCCAAGAAACATTTCAGAACATCCTATGTTTGTACCTGCAACTCCAGCTAATTGGAGTTTAACTGGTGGAAATATAAGTATTGCCAGGAATGTTGCTTCTTCTTCTCGGATTGGGCCGAGTTCGGTTGTCCATCCGTCATCGACGCCCAATTGGATTCCTCGTCGCAATCCACAATATCCACGGAGATTATCAGAATTTGTTCGGCGCTCATTGCTGTCTTCTGCTGATTCTGAGTCTGGAGGGCAGAGCAGTAATAGTTCTCCAATACGTTCAGGTCATTCTGCCTCTGCACATGAAATGGCTTTTTCATCTGGTGCTGGTAGCCAGGGGCATCATCCGTCGCACCCAAGGTCAGCAATGCTGTTGGATAGACAACTTGATGGGACTTTTGGAATTCCATATTCATTACGAACTTTGGCTGTTGCCGGTGAAGGAAGAAGCAGGCTTGTATCTGAGGTTTGTTCTAGAATTTCTGGTCACTGGCTATTATAATCTCACTTCAATCTGAAATATGGTTTCTTACCATTTACAGTATCTATATAACATTGTTTTAGTGTTACTTTGTGTGGTTGAGGTTAGGGGATTCTAGGACATTGATCTCAATTGATTGTCTAGTCCTTATTATAAGCATGTTAGTATTACTTATTTCATTTTTATTATTCTTGTTGTTGTACACAAGTCACTTTGTCCAAAATATTACCGAATCTTTGGTCTATCTGCTGCAACCTTCTTAGGCAGGACCACTAGTGATTGACCTTTAGCTATAATTTTGGACTTCTCCAATGGTGGCAATTTATACCAACTTATTTGATTACCTTTCTCCAGAAATGTTATTTTCCAAATTCAGCCATAATCACCTTGTGATTTCTCTAATGGTGGCAATTTTGTATGCATCTTCTGTGTCAGGGCTGGAAAAGAAGGTTTTTTGAATCTTTCTTTCCGTGACTTATGTACTATCCATTTCTGAGGATTAGCTCACACAGCTACTTTTTGATAATGTTTTAGAAAGAGAATTAAAACACAAAGTTTAATAAAATCTCCCTCTTGATTATGTTGTACTTTGTAATCCGCCTTTTGCGGAAAATTTTGCAATAAGTCAGAAACATGAATCCTTCTTTTTTTAAAAAAATAAAAAATAAAAAATCTTGATATCATACTGAAATGTATATGCGGTAAAGGAATTATAATGTGGAGATACTGATCCTAAAAATGTTCTACAGTATATTTTGTTGTGAGGGGATCTTTATTCAATGATCTCTTTCTCACACACACACACGTTAATGTAAGAAAATCTGGTGCTGCAAAACACATAAAAAGAACTTTATAATTTTGTTTAATGAAATTTCTCTAGGGTGATAATATAGATTTTTTAGTCTGATATTAATTCAATATGGGGATTGTTTTCCATGATCACCTTAAATTCAGGTCATTGTTGAAATTGGCCATATAGCATTTATCATATAAAAGAAAATTTCAGGTCATTGATGGAATTGGCAGTTCTCATATAAAAGAAAGAAGATGGAATATGTCCATGCTTGCCATACCCAATTTTTCGTATAATAATTATTTTATTGCTGTCAATTGCTCACCTATTTGATTGCATAGAAATGCATTTAGGATTAAATGTTTATTTGGTTTCTTTATTAACGAGAGCCTTTTTTTACCTGGGATTAAAAAAATAAATAAATAGATAAATAAATAAATAAATAAATTTAAGATTCTAAGATTGCTTTGTAGTTGGTCTAATTTTTATATTTTTAATTGTGCTTTATAACATATTTAGTGGAAACTGGGAGGAAACCATGGAACTTTGTATGTAAAACTCATTGTGGATCATTGTTTTTACATATATAATGGCAAGATTTTGTGTTTTCATTTTCATTTTTGTAGTCATGAGTTCTGTTTGCAAGAAAAGGTGAGAATCTTGAGTGTATACATTTATATTACTACAAGAAAGAAAGACAATCGTAGGCTGCATCATGGGTGGGTTGAATCAGATCCAATCTGAGCTCATTTCAAACTTAAGCTGGCTTGGACAGTTTCTTCTGCTTAGAGTAGAGCTTTAGTTGAAAATTGTTAATCTGACCTCAATTCTGGTTGTTATCGGGTTGATGCTCTAGAAAAGCTAACTCAGTCTGAATCTGATCAATTGAATATAGCAGAAAGCATAAAGTTTGATCGCACACGCACACGCACACGCGCACGCGCACACGCACACATTTTGTCTGCACAGATACCATGGTTAGTCTGTCGTTTATCCCATCAATTTCCTCATAAAGCCTCAGTCTTCCCAAATTTCTAGTATCTCACTCCGCGACTCACCTTTGCCTCCGTGACCTAGCTTCCCGCCTTAATAATTTTAGCAATTGATCTTATCCAACCATGAATTTTTTTTTTTTGGCTTGCTTGTGGTTTAAAAATGTCAATTATGCATGCTAAAAGGCTGCTCAAATTTTTTAACTGAAGTACTTTATAGTATATATATTTCATAATAAAATGTAGTAGAAATTTCACAATAAGAAAATGTTGTGTTTGATGATATAAGGAATATCTAAGGTGTTTATGGGATAAAGTGAAAAAAGGTGGTGAAATTGGTTGTCAAGGTGTGTATTCAGTATTACATTCATGCTTTTCTTGCGGTCTACTTCTCGAATCTTTTGAATCTGCTTGATTTGTTAGATATACTATAAAGAATGGCATGTCTCGCTTGAATTATCTACTTCAGTAGACATTCATCTTGTGACCTCTGAAATGGGTTTGAGAGAAAGTGTTTTGCAGCTCATGAGAACCTAGTTCAACTTGTAAAATTTACAATGAACGTTATGCTATAATACTCCTTTTTTGAGAGAATTTTACTGTTTTTAAGCAATTAACTATTTAACTTGAGTTAACACTTTTTTCTTGTGGAGCAGATACGCAATGTCTTGGATCTTGTGCGTCGGGGCGAGGGCTTGCGGTTTGAGGTTAGGATCTTGGAGCGCATATTTACAAAGCTCACTAGAACTGATTAACTTTGGCATATAGAGACATAAGCACATGCACATTTTCCTTCTTTTTTTTCTTTGATTTATGTCCTTGTGGTGGTTGGTGAGAAAATAAAAAACTTTTCTTTTTTCCAAGAAGCCAATAGTGACTGATGCTAAACAGTAAGGGTCCAACCTCCAACCCAATCATTCCCCTAAAGATGCCATGCTAGCCACATACCATTCCATTTTGCCCCAGGATTGGTTCTTTTGCTAGAACTGCATCCAAGTGATACACAGGAATGAGAACTGAACCCTTGAGATAATGAGAATGAGAAAAAAAAAAAAAAAAAGGAAAGCTTACGTCGGATGATGGTAACACCTGCTAATTGTTTGTTACATGTGAAGTGGAAATTGACTATGGCCATCTCATGCCATGCACACTAAATCACTGGGTAGTGATATTTGTTAAGCATCATGGTCACTCATCAGGATCCTTATTCATAATCATATCACAGAAACATGCCTGTTGCTGTTGTTCAGTGTTGCGACTTGCGAGGAATTTTTGAAAACCAGTGTTAATCAAATCCTTGACGAATCATTGGAACATGGCTGGTGTCTATTCCAATAGAGTAGAGAAGAAGGCACTCCCATTCGTTCGACCATTCTCTACTATCTCTCTCTCTCTCTCTCTCTCTCTCTCTCTCTTTGTGATTAGCATATCTGAAAAAAGAATCAATGGCTCTTAGTATTGGTGTTCTACTAAGAATATGACCTCAAGAGGATAGAAGGAAAGAACAGAAATTTCTATGTATAATTGTTCAATCAACAGTTCTTTTTTAACCCATAAGTGGATTTTGTCTTCTGATTTAATTAATATCTGTAACTTGACTTGTGCTTCTGTGCTTTTGATAGGATGTTATGATTCTTGATCAGTCGGTCTTTGTTGGAATGGCTGATATTCATGATCGTCACAGAGATATGCGGCTTGACGTTGATAACATGTCATACGAGGTAGAAGATGCAAAAAGATTCTTAAAACTTCTGGCTCCACAGTTAGCTTTGAATATCGTTCCCTTATTTTTGCTCTATCGGGTTTATAGGAGTTACTGGCGCTGGAAGAGCGAATCGGTTATGTTAGCACTGGATTGGGTGAGGAAATAATTCAGAATCGTCTGAAGCAAAAGAAGCATTCATCCATTGCAATAGGAGCTCAGCAGGACGTGGAGCCGTGCTGTGTATGCCAGGTGCTGATTTTTTCTTCTCTTCATCTTGTCACTGTTAATTACACAGAAGTTACGCTTGTTTTTAATCCATTTTTTTTTTTTTTTTTTTTTTCCAACCATGGTTTCTTATCATTTCCAGGAGGAATATAACAATGGAGATGATCTTGGAACGCTAGAGTGTGGGCATGATTTCCATTCTGGTTGTATCAAACAATGGTTGATGCAAAAGAATTTGTGTCCCATATGTAAAACGACGGCCCTAGTTCCGTGAGACGAGACCAATTTTTCCAGGCCATTCCTTCCTGGATTTGATAGTGGTGGGGGTGGGATCTGAAAATGTATCTCACTCTGGCCACTATCTTTCATTGAATCCATCCACTATGTGGATATTATTGTCTTCCCTCTTAGCACAACTGCTTACAGCTTCATGGAAGATCCATTTTATTTTCTGTTTACTTAATTTTATTTGTAATCTCCTTTTCTGGGGTTGCTAATGATTAAAGAATCAAAGTAGAACTAGTTCAACTTTCCATTTATTTAAGAATTGAATTTGTTATTTGAAATTACATTTTCATCTCTTGAATAGTTTCTGATGTCCATTGGGATATTTAGTTCATTCACATTATTTAGATGCCTATTTATGTTTATAGCTTAGTCATTTTTTGAGATTTCAAAATATGGTTATGTATTGTTCTCAATTAATAATCTATGAAATAAATACCCTTCAATATTGAACAAGGTCGATGTTATATTTAGACTTGAATCTCTTATGTGGAATGGGGGTAGTCATGTTTCTAGCAGTTGGTGATATTGCAATAGTATTAAAACATTGTTAGCAAATAAATTTTTGGACGCGTAGAAAGTGCACCCTCTACACGGGTCGGATAAAGACCAAGCATTTTTTTTTTTTTTTTTAATTGGTATTCACACGCACTTGTCTTTTCTGATATTTGAATTTCTGACTTCCTTTTGAGAAGTAAGAGGTTGATACCGCTAAGCCAGGCTTTTATTTGCAAGTGTGGCTTTAAGAAATTGTATTAAGGGGAATTGAACCTTAGACCTTTATAAGTTATGAAGTAACAAGCCCTTAGACCTTTATAAGTTATGAAGTAACAAGCCCTTAGGTTATAAAATGGTTAACTTATTGTATGTAGAGTGTATGGTTTGCACTTACTGTATGTAGAGAGTATGGGTTGCAGTATCGTTTGTAATCACGATGTACAAGTTGCATATCGAACTTAAAAAGGTCATGTATAGGCCAATATATTACATATCAGATGATACGGCAAATCATAGCGGAGAAAGAAGTACCTTTTGGGAAGGGTTAAAGAGGTTGGCATGACCTTTTTTTAGGTGACCATTTGGGATGACCATTTTTTTTTTTTTTTTTGCCTGTGGAATTCAATTGGTGATGTATGTCTCTCTCTCTATATATATATAGCTTTAACCCAAAGCAATCAATGACATTTGAAGTTGGCTGGGAGCTTTCTAGTTTATAGGCATTGGTTAAAGCTATTGGCTTTTGGAGAAAACGTTTGCCCACACAGTACGCAATTTTTTAAATTTCAATGGGAAGGAAAAAGCAGATAGTGTGTCATAGGGGTAAGACATAAAAAATTTCACAAGGAACCGCAACCTAGAAGCCTAAAAGTGCCCTTGGGAATGGCACCTTGTCCCTTAATGATGTCTGTTTTGGTCCAACTTGACGTCTGGGAGGATAAGATGAGCAACTCTGACTTCTATTTTGGAGTAGCCGAAGCTCATCCTAATAAAGTCGAGCATCCAGATTAAATAATATCAACCACCTCTATCAAATCTTTTACGTACTCGAATGCGTATAGCTGGTTGCACAGCTGGTTTATAACTCTTTTTTTTTTTTTTTTTTTTTTTTTTTTTTTTTTTTTTTTTTGTATAAAATCGGTTGGTCCGATGAATTTATATTAATATTTATCTGAATCCGTATGCGAAAATAGGACTGCCAACTATACTTGTATATTATGTTCAAGAATGTAGGTAAAGGGTAACAAATAATGGCTTTGAATTTCTCCAGTTTTCGAACATTAATCTCTTTCATGGTCTAATTTCAGATCTAAAAAAAAAAAAAAAAAAAATTCGTTAATTTATGATCCCGTTCAAGATTCTTGGAATCGAAATTAAAACTAAATTGTAAACTATATATATATATATATATATATATATATATATATAAGACATAAGATAAGATTACATAGTTTAAACGTCTTCCTTGATTTTGAAAAATCTTTAGACTCTGTCGAAATATTTATTTTGACGTAAAATATTCTTTTTGAATTTTTTTTTTATTTAAGGTAAATATTCTTTTATTTTTACTTTATGTGTTTGGTAAAGACCTATGTCGAGATTGAGACCGAGTCCATCGGTCTAGACATATAAAATAACTTGCTGAAAATTAATGTATAAGTTATTTTTGTCAAATTTAAATATTTTTTCTCTTCATAAATATTTTACGACAACCAAACCCCAAAAAATAAAAAATATTTTCTAAAAAATATTTTACATTCAAACAAACGGAGCCTTAATATTATTTTTTTTCATTATTATTTTTTTTTAAATGTTTGTTAATTTCCACAACTATGATTCAAAATCAAAATGAATTGATCTTTCATAATTCACTTTGGTTTAATTTTCAAAGTCTAAGGGTTTTATTCGATTTTAATTTTTTTTTTTAAATTGCCGGAATTAGTTCGATTTCAATTACAGTTTGCACCCCTAGAAAAATTAAAAAATGATAGTCAGATTGTAACTTACTTGGAATGATTGACGCATGTGTATGGAACACATTTCCTCTCTAATTATTGACACTCCATATTTCCATTTTTGGTCATTTCTTTGTCTATGTCACACTTTTAGTGTGAATTGTCACAATCTCTAAAAACGTACGGAAAAAAATTTCTAAATAAAATACCTTTTTATTTTATTTTTTCATAAAAATATGAAGATTCACATAATTTCATTATTTATTTGGTTTAATCAATTATCAATTAATTTTTGATGTGGACAATCTAACCGAAAATACTTTAAGTTCTCAACGCAAAGAAAATTTTCATTTAGTAATTAAAAATTCTTAATGGTACTCCTTATGAGACTATGAGAGGCAATGAGGGATGCACTAGAATGCAAAAATGCTTTGAATTTGTTTTGTTTTGTATAATCGTGTTACCAAATAAAAGTATCTTCAATTTAAATAAAAATTTTGCTCAACAACTGTAAATTTAATAACCAAAAATATTATTAATCTATATTAATATTAAATTTTATATTTATTATTTTGTTCAAAAAATATATATATTCAATATTTTTTTTATTTTTTATTCTTCAACTACGTTTCCCTCAACTGAATTCATGACTCTACAGGGATGACAAATATTTAATATTTATAATGCTTTTTAAACGAACAATTTATTTGGATTTTAAAATAATAATAATAATAAATAAAAATCCTATTCACATGGGGGCATATGTTAGGTTTTTCCAAAAATTTGGGAGTCTATGGCATCATCATTGTCAAAAATAGGGCGCCTTGTCTGTAAGAAAAATAAAAGAAAACATGAGTACAAAAAATTAAAGAAAAGGAAAAAGAGTTGGTGAGTACTTGCTTTATTCATAACTTTAGTTTTTCTTATTTTTCCTTTTATACCCTTCAATAAAAAGGACAGTATCACATTTCCTTTCATTTTCCTCCCAAACGTTCAAATTGGGGGAATACCTCCCCCTCTTTTCTATCTTTCCTTCCGTAGGGAAAAAAATCTTCACCAGTTATTCTCTTACTGTATTGGTCTAGTGAGAGAATAAAAAAACTGATTTGACGATTGAGTTAAATTTATATTTACCAAACTTCTAATATATATATATTACATATAATTTTCGTATACAACATATCTATTATTTAATGAATTGACTTTCACCTCATGGGTCCAGTTGGTTGAAATTTTAATATCCTCAAAAGAAAGAATGAATGAAAACCCTAAAAAAGAATAAGAACCCATAAAACTACCCAAAACAAAAGAAGAACTGTATAGGAAAACAATGCTAGAGAAATATATACACACACACACACACATATATATATATATATTATATATTTGCTAATTTTGTTTTGATTGCCTTGATTTTCTTGGCACATATTTGTGTATATGTACGAAGGACCTGTATTCGTGTCGTGTCAGACACTGACATTCATTGGATATTCCTTTAATACGTGTCCGATACTTGCTATATGTGTTCATAAATAAAAATTAAATTTTGTCACTTCTTCAACACTTAAGTCGATACTTTTAAACATTTCTAACATAAGTTTACTCGATAATCTTTAAATAATATGAACACATCTGTGTTTAACATTTTTTCTTTATGAAAATTTGACATTCCACACATATGATTACAATTGAAGTATAAAATGATATTTGTTTATTTAAAATAAAAGCACTACTATGACAAAGTAGTAGAATTACTGTATATATGATATAAAAGGTAATACAATAATGATATAATTTCATTTTCTAAATTATTTTAAAGCAACTCTTAATATATAAATTATACAGAGTAAATGCATTGAAGTTTTATAATACTATTAATCAATAGATGTATATAATAAAATTGGACAAAGTATAGAAAATCCCCCTCGACTTTTAATATTTTTTAATAAACTATTGTCTATTTTTTTTACCAAAGAACCCCCCTTAACTATCTGAAGAAGGTAAAAGAGTTGATATTTAGACCAAACCACCCTTTTATTTAAATCTCAATTCTCCCAAACTTCAAAAATTCATATCTCACAAACCATACATTTAAAAATTGTAAATAATATATGCACAGAAAGCTTATAAAATAAGGTTTTCACAAATATAAGACTTGTATAACAAACATTCATAATTAGAGATAAATAGGCAATCTAAAAATCTACTCCAATAATCTTCTTTTATTTTTTAAAAATAAAATATTAGAGATATTTGCAAGAAAATTTTCAGAATTATTCATTTACATATGGAGCCAAATATATAAAAAAATTTAGCCCCAACAGATTTCATGAGATATTATATTTTGCGTCAAAGTGTTTTTATTCTTTTATAGACTCACCATTTAAAAATAAATAAAAATGAATATTTGGTCTCTATTGGGGCTAATTTTTTTTATATGTTATGCTGCATATGAAAATGAAGAATTCTGAAAATTTTCTTGCAAATAACTCGAGTATTTTCTAAAAAATAAAATAAAATAAGATTGTTACAGTAGAATTTTATATTGTTTATTTTTCTCTGGTTATGAAGTCTTGTTAAACAAATCTTATATTTCTGGAATCCTTGTTTTATAAATTTTCAGTATATATATTATTTGCAATATTTGGATATACAGTTTGTGAGATATGGATTTTTGAAATTCGAAAAAATTAATATTTAAATAAAGGGCATTTTGGTCCAAATATCAATTCTTTAACCCCATTAGATAGTCGAGGGGGGTTTTTTGGTAAAAAATTAGACGAGGGGTTTACTGGAAAAGACTAAAAGTCAAGGGGGTTTTTCTGTACTTTGCCCATTAAATTTTATATTTATACATAACAGTGTCCACATTCTACCCGTGTCCTAGTTTTTAAAAATTTGACATGTCAACGTATGTGTCTCGTGTCATTATCATTGTCTTATGTCATTGTCCGTGTCCATGTTATATAGCTTAACATGATGTCAAAATTTTTAGGATAAATTATACTGAACTTCCTTAAGGTATGTGCAAATTACACATAAGACCTTCCCTGAAATTTGGCACATTTGGTCAAGAGCACCCCTAATGTTTAATTTTTGACAGATTTATTGACCAAATTTTATAAAATGACAATCTTATGAAAATATTACCCTTCACTAGAATGAAAATTAGGGCATTATTGACTTTTCATACTCAGTCACATTTCGATAGCTGACGAATGGGTCTCGAGAAGGTCAAAATAATAAACGTCGGTAGCTGAAAGTTTCGGGAAGGTCAAAGTAATAAACATTGAATGATTTATCTGTGTATAATGTGTTCAAACTTTAAGAGAGGTCAGTGTAATTTATTCAAATTATTATTACATAAGAGTGAATGATAAAAAATAGTTGTCAATAAACATAATTAATATCAAAATATTAAAGGGTTAACTACTTAACTTCAGTAAAGACTTTTTAACCAATGATAAAAGGGTGTGATATATTTTAGAATATCTATTTTAATGATTTAATAAATATTTTATTAGGAGAGTAAGCTCTTTTAAATATTTTAGAAGAAGTTCACGAAATTTTTTTTCTCTATTCAATCGTTTTTCACTTTTAGATAAATGGAAAAAATTAATGAAACATTTTTCTCTATTCCAAACACTAATCAAAGATTCTTAAGGTGAGAGTTTCCAAGGGATAGTTTTTTCTTTTTCTTTTAATAATTCAATTTTTATGTGATATCAAAACTTTGATTATAGAAGGCCTCATCGTTTGGAAAATAGTTGTTAGATAAAGGGTTAAGTGCACTAAACTCCCCTGAACTTTATTCTCTTTCTCAAAAAACCCCCATAAACTATGAGAAAGACATTTAACCCCCTAATCTATCATATTTGTTGCAAAATCTCCAACTCTGTTAGTTAGCCATCTCATATTTAACGTTAGGCAAGGGCACGTGACCTATGTGCCTTAGCCAAAATTTAAAATCACATATATACCCTTTATCACTGTTCTAGACCATTATATATATCACTATATATATATATATATACACACGCACACACCTTGTATAAACATTCGAACCATCCCCAAATTGAAAAAACCCTAATATTTGATTCTCTATTAGCAGCAAATCCTCTCTCCTGAACTCTCCTGAACGGACTCCTCCATGCTGCCATTTGACGCTCATATCTCTGTCTCAATTTGGGTATCCAGGTTCTCTTCCTCCACCACAACTTTGCCATCCCCATCGTCCAACAATAGAAAACTTTGCACCAGCGAGTTGTCCATCTCCATCTCAAATTGGGTGTTCAAATTCTCCTCATCTGCCATAGCTTTGTCGTCCCTATCTTCCAAAGAAGCAACTAAGGACTCTGCACCAACAAATTTTACTTTTTTCTATCTCCTGAACAAAGCTCTCTATTGCTTTTTTTTGCCGTCGTCTCTACCTCCATTTCAAAGTCCACCATTAAATTCTTCTCCTCTGCCACAACTTTGTCATCCTCATTGTTTGTAAAACCAATTGAGGTATCTGCCCTAATAATTTCTACAATTTCAAGCTCCTGAACACACTTCTCTCTGCTATCTTTTGCGGTCTCGGTCTCCATTTCAAAGTCCGCCATCAGATTTTCTGGTTTTGTGTACGTTGATTTTCTGGTTTTTTGTTTTTGAGCTTTTCCTTTGCAGTAGCTCATGAACCCAACTAAACATGGCTTTGAGTGGGTTTAGCACGGCGAATTGGGAGAGAGATCGCTTCACGCATACAGGAGGGATTGTTTGGCACTGGTTAAGAGAGAGGGTTGGGTTTGCGGCCATATATCGATATAACCGAAGCAATTGTGATATAGTTAAAATTTATGATATGTTGGCGCTTTTTTATTGGAGATTGAAATTGCATTTTGCTACCTCAGCGGCTGAAGTTGCACATAATTAAAAACGACGTCGTTCAAAGTAAGGGCTAATAGGTAAATTGATTGTTCTGTTAACGGCTGGTTGACAAATTTTCCTTAACTGCAACATTTCTATAGTTTAGGGGGTTGTTTTTAGTTTAGGGAGTTTTTTTGCAATTAGCTCATAATTCAGGAGGGTTTAATACACTTTACCCTTAGATAAATAAAAATGCAGCCCTTTTTAAACAAAATAAAACATGACAGATGGATTAGCGCGGGAGAGTGATCAAACTTGATTAGAAGCTCTGTAACCTCTCTTAAAGCTTTTAAATCACTTCTAGAGAGAGAAATCAATACTTATAGAGAGAAACCCCAACAAAGAGGAGAGAGAGTGCATAAACGGACGGTTTTGCAGAGAAAAAGAGGTGCAAACAAAACCAGTAGTTGGAACTTGGAGCAATTCATCATCATCTTCTTGCACTCTTCTCAATATATATATATATATAGATATATAACTTTATATGTGCTCGTGTGTTTGTGTGTCTTTTGTGGTGATCTCTCAGATTAATTAAATGGCGGATCTGTACGGAACAAACTCTAAAACTCCCTCACCCGAATCCGAAGAAATGTCTTCGTTTCTTCACAATCTTCTTCAAAGTTCGTCTATGGCTTCTCCTCCTTTCGCGTCTTTCAAGCCCAAGCACTTGCCCTCTTCCTCCTCTCCGCCACCACCACAACCACCGCCTCCGCCGCCGCCGCCGCCGCCGGAGACTTCAACCTCCGCTGTACTTTGGAGAAGCAGTTCGGCGACTTTTATTTCTGATTCGGACAGAGTCAGAGGCGGAGCCTCAACCGATGGCTCGTCTGTGATGATTGACTCCGTTTCCGACTTCAATTTCTCCGATCCCGGCGGTTTCTTTCCGGCCGGTGCCAAGGGGAGCACAAGCAACACGCTTTCTTCGGCCGGCGTTGTTGTGGATTCTGACGCGATCACGTCTTTGATGAAGAACAAGAAGTTTCCGGCGGAGAACCACTTCACCGACCTGAGTTTCAGTTGCGAGGTATTTTTCTCTTCAGTAGAATCAGTACTTATTTCAGTTCAATTTTCAGTTTTGAACTCAGTGAATTTTGGTTTTTGGTGGAAAATTGCTGAAACTAGAGGGGACTTGAAGCTTCGGAGGTGCCAGGAAATCAGGTGCCACCACCACGGTCGGTGAAGCGGACTAGAGCAGCGGAGGTTCATAATTTGTCCGAAAAGGTTGGCTCTGATAGTCTTAATTTAAAATACAACTTTGAAGTTTTTAATTTTTGATTCTTGTGTGATGGTGTTGATATGGCTAATTTTAATGGACAGAGGAGGAGGAGTAGGATCAATGAGAAATTGAAAGCATTGCAGAATCTAATTCCGAACTCTAACAAGGTACTTATTGTTTTAGAACAATTGAACTAAGAGTAGGACTTTTTGAATGAATGTTTTGGTGGGTTTTTTTCGTATTGTAGACGGATAAGGCTTCGATGCTGGATGAAGCCATCGAGTATCTGAAGCAGCTTCAGCTACAAGTACAGGTGAGGGTCCTGCTTTAGTCAATCTGGCTTGTGTTTCAGCTCACTGTGTTTATCATGTATGGCATGTGTGTTACGTTTCTATCAATGCTTTCTGTCTCTTTGGTTGGTTGTTGGTACTAGCATGCCTTCTGTCTCTTTGGTTGGTTGTTGGTACTAGCATTCGTAGTTAAAAGCACATACTTGAATTATCAATCTTGCACCTTATAGGTGAAATGAGTATTTCCTTTGTCTCATACTATAAGTTCATATAACAAGTCACATGCTTTTCAAAAATTGACCTTGTGGGGCTCAAACTCTGAACTTCAACATGGAACTTTTTATTTGGAGGGTTACTTTGGCTAAGGCCCCATTGTTCTCTTACATTAACCGATTAGAAGGAAATGGAAAAATGGTACCATTTTGCAGTGTATTTTAGTTTCGTTGTGATAATTTAAAAGAATTTCCAAAATTGTTTCACTCTAGTTACATCCATGATGTACAAAGTAATAAATTAAGTGATAGAATTAGAAATTGATAGGCCATTATTGTGTTTCGTTGTGTGCTGTAATTGTTGCCAATTCCTATGAACACCAAAAAATAAAGAACATTGCATAAAAATACTTTTTAGTTGTCCCTGAGAATGGCTGCAAGATGAGATATGTAGCTGCCAATATAAAATTACAGATTTGACTGCAACAGACGAAAGGTGAATTTGGTGACTTCTTGTCACTACTGGTTTTTGGGGTTCTATAGTGTGGAGATATAACAGATAGGCTGATAATTTTGAATTGTGGTCGTTTATATGAAAATTTGTATTAAAGGAAGGTGATGTTTGAAGTGAGTTATAAGAATAGTTATTATTTTTTAACCCCAAACCAAGCTTCTTTTCACCTTTAGAACTTTCCCTGTTGAAAGTCCAAACAAAATGTTAAACCTAGCTCGATCCCCTATTTGTTATGGGTTCCCTCCTTCTACACATTCAGCTATACTTGTATCATCTGTCACACACACAGTAATGCCAGAAGACAATCACAAAGAATGAAGCATAGGGTGAATCATTTTGAAACATATATCCATAAAAAAATCAATAGCAGTTTTATCGGCTTTGAAATCTTAACAATTTGAATTGCAAATGCTACAAGGAGGATATAATTGTTTTTAGCAACAACAGCTACCTTATGTTACAATCGTTCCACATGGAAGTGTGGTGAAAATTTATGCAGCCTAGAATCTAATCTGGTATTCCTTTCTCTTGTACTTGGTTCCATTTTAGTGATAAAGAAATATTGTGAAACCTTCTTTTTTTGCTTTCTTAACTTTTTCTCCTGCAAGTGTATTGTGCTGCCTTGTATTGATTAAACCACACCCTAAATTTGCATTGACAGCCCGTTAAATTCAATTTGTTTTGTCTGTATGAACAGCTTACTTGTCTTCCAGTTCTCAATGAAGAATTTGGATGCATGTTTTAATTTCGGTTTTACAAAATATAAGAAATGTAGAAGGAATATCCAGCTGGAAGCATAAACATACTATATGTTGAACTCGTGATCATGCAGACTTGACAGACCATCTATTATATGTGGCAACTTATTTAGGTATAATTTCTTGAGTGTATCAGTAGATACAACAAATTAACCCCAAGTCGTAGAATTGCTTCAAATAGAATTTATATTTGCTCTGCTTGCTGCTTCATGGCAAATAAAATGAAAAATGACAGGGCTGATACTTTGCATATCATGATTTGAGCACCCTTTTGTTTCAATCTGGCCTCTTCTTCCTTCTGAGAAAGCAATATATATTTATATATGTCTTCCAGATTATGCGTCAACAATTTTGTTGTTCATGGAAGTCTCAAATTATTTCTGTATTCCTATTGAACATGTATAATCCAAACTAGTCCTCTATGATTAACTCATTTCGAGCTTATTGATCATCAGATGATGGGAATTACTCTAGAATTATTCGTATGAATTTTTTTTTATAAGTCTCAAGACTTGTGCTATTTGGATGATTTTAATATTATGTTGATGAAGAAAGAGAAAAATAAGTTCTTTAAACTCTATTCTTGGATTTTCTTCAAACTATTCTCAACAGTTCTGCAGTTAATAATCCAGTTAGAGCCTGTGGGCCCAACATAAAACCATAGTCTGGCAAAATGTTCAGGGTTCGTGTACCGATTTGTGGACAGACCAGTTTATGTTCCAAATGACACCATATGTAAAATTCCAAGTTCAAAAGTGTTTGTTCACTCAATTGCATTCAAATTATATGGAATGTCTTCTTGCATCACTTATCATTCACAATACCTTAAAAAAGATTATAGTGGCTTGGAAAATGAACTTATTTTTCTTTTTCTTTTCTTTTTTTAGTTATTTGCTTGTCATCATCTAGTGTTGTCTTCTATTCTACTTATACCATGAGCATTCATCAAACCAAGAATTTACTGGAAGTTGGATGGCTTACTTGTTTGATATTAAATTACCAATTTGTGGGGTGTAATGAACAGTTTAATTTCTTAATCTTTTCTTGAACTAAAACACTTTTTGGCATTTGAATATGCCATATGGAGCTGATATTCAAACTAATGGAATTTTTTATATCTAATGCTGTAAAGAATAAATTAGTTCTAGAACCCATATCTAAACAAATTTGTACGAATTTAGCCCTAAAAGGTTCTGGCATCCCTCTTCAATGAAATGATAGAGGCTCAAGGGCATAACCTGTTTTGTAGTCAAATAATGCTTTTACAAATTTCTTGGGAAGATTAGGCAATAAATAATTTTTATTTTTTTTTATTTTTTTTAGAGCCTTTAGTGGGACTATAGCTAAGTTAGGTTTCATTTTGTATGCTGTTTTTGAGATTGAAACTTCGACTCTTGTTCACCTCCTTTTTCCAAACACTGGAAAATGTTGAAGGGTGACCAAGATAGTATCTTTCTATCATTCTTCAGCGTGGTTGGTTTTGCAGATGTTGTCCATGAGAAATGGATTAAGTTTGCATCCAATTTACATACCAGGATCCCTACAATCACTGCAGCTGCCCGAGACTGGAGTTGGCTTTGACGAGGGAAATGGATTGATGAACACCAACAGGACAGCAGATACATTCTGTGGGAACCAAGAAATACCGACATTACCTGCATTTGATATTTCGAACCAATGCACTCCCTCAAATCAGCCAATTGGCAGACCCCCGACGATAAACTCCATCAACCCAGGAACTACTTTTGGTTTGGAATCATTGATTCAGAATCAGTATGGACCCATCACTCACTTGACTGCTTCAAAGGTAACTTTTATTTTTATTTTTATTTTTTAATTGAACAAACAGTCATGGATTTTGGTATTGACACCTGTTCGTCTCCAATGTGTAGGAAATCTGCCTGGAAGATACACAATCACAGCTGCAATTAGATACCGGGAAAAATTCGTTGTCTGGCGTGTCTTCTTAGCCAAGATGATAATAGTAAACACGAACTTGCTGAGGGATTGCTCAACTTGTTCAAACACCAAAGAAATTGCAAAAGATATTTGAAGCTACTGAGATATCCCAACTTTGACTATGTTAATTATATATTTTCAGTTGTGGGATTTGTAACTATTGAAACCCTTTAACTTGTATAATTATGGTCTTAAAGTTTATTGTAATTCTTACCTATTGGCTGAACTGTTGCTATATTTTGCATAATCTGGCATGAAATTTGGTTTTCTAAGGGAAAGGATTAGACTGAAATTGAAGAATTTTTGGAAAGCAAGTAAAATAAGTGAATCAAGTAAAGCACATGAAATGAAGAGTAAAGTGTTAATATTTGTGTTGCTGAAGGAGAATTCTTCAATCTTCAATTCTGCTACTTATTATAACCTTCGCAACAGCTATTTTTGGCCATAGGTACCACTCTTAAATGCTACCAAATGTCCTTCATAAACTATTCCATAACGCATGGCCTTCAATCATATCATTTTTATTCCAAATATATTATGAGCCAGAACCACTTGACAATTACTTTTCTTCTTGGCATTTTGTCATTTGTCATTTTGAAAAGGAAAGTTTTGGAGAAGACATTGGAAAAGGGTGTGCATGTGTAACCCTAAATTTGTGTTCCAAGCATGTGTAAAAATTTGAATTAAAAGGACTTACCTCCCACCTTTACCAATATTACTTCTACCCCTTCTGATTTGATTTTGTATCTTTTTCTTCAATGGAGAAGCCTCTTTTTGATGTTGGACTCTTCATGAATTAGAGCCATTTTGCTTGGATGCTTGGAAGGCTTGTGACTTGATTTTGGAGAGCTTTGGAAGGCTTGAAGCTTGCTGATTTTATGAATTTCAAGGGCTTGGAGGCTGTGTTTAGAGAAGTTGGAGGGTTCTCATTGCTTGGAGAGGTTCCTAACAGGAAGAGATCAAAGGTGCTGGAGGATGAGTTTAGACAGATTTTCACTTGCTGGGCACGAAGTTGTTGTTTATGAAAAGTTTTATGCTTGTTTCTAATTTTGCCAGGCGCGGAGTGGCACTTTTGTAAATAAAAATCCCCTATCACATGACCGCTGAAATAGGGCCTGAAGTCATCCTGTTGACGTCATGCCTTGTGAAAAGGGCATAATCCTGTGTAACTTTCCATAGACCTTCCCTGGTCCTCAAGTTGCGTGCAACCCCTTGATTTTGACTGTTTTATTCATATTCCAAAGTTTTTCGGATAATTTTAGTGCCATCAGCCATGGTAGGTTCCAATTTGTGATTCAACAGTCAAATTTTGTGCATGCGAAGGGGAGGCAAAAATGGGGTGTTTACTGTGTGAAGACACAAGCCCATCGTGAACAAATGTTGGGACAAGCTGAAGGGGTGACAATTTCCAAGATGGGCTGAGTGTGATAGTGTAAAACAAGAGTTACGCGGGGTGCAGAAACAGTTGATTTTAATTGTGATTAACTCTTTAATGACCTAGATCTGATTATTAGGTCAACTTGCTTAATTTATGATTAATTAAATTGCATGATCAATTAAACATCCACAATCATAAATATAAATACTAAAAAGTAAAGTAAGTTAAGTTTAGAGAGATTGTACTAGGATTTTTAGCGAGGAAACCCCAGTTGATAAAATACGTCAACTGTTATGGGAAAAACCTCGTGAACTATGCAGTCCAAAGTAAACCAATCCACTATGTTTGAAACAAAGTATACCGAACTTTGACTCTGGCTCACACCCTATCGTTCTACACCACACCAACCGCTGACGATCCTTTGGCTTTGCGAGTCCCTGTCCAACAGTAACTTGATCTCAGGCTTACACTTGATATTTGTAGAAGAGTAGCAGGTAGATCAGACAGCACTCCACGAATGCTCCAACCCTTTTAAAGTGTAATAGCGCTTACTTCTGTTCTTCAAGATCTGAACTCGATTGTAGAAGAATTAAATCCTGCTTCTCATCTGGAATATCTGAATCTTCAGTATAGCTCCAATTCCGATGAGATAGAGAACAACACCACTAAATCACTCATGAATATATGTGTATGCTCTCATAAATAAATTCAGAATAATCAGATTTGATTTTCTGAATTTTCTCTCTCTAGAAGGCTTTCTCAAAATATAAAATTAATTTTCCCTCAAGCCCTCATAAACCAATGTATATGACAAGGTTTATATAGAGTTTTGAAAGTTCTAATCCCTCAGAAAATATGATAAATTTCGTGCATAGGACTTAAAAGGAAGCTGGGATCAAAAAGGAAACATTAGAAGAATGAAACTGGAAACCTAATGCATCTAGGACTTCTTGAACCAGTTCAGCCATCTTGAACCGGTTCAAGATGGACAGTAAGGAATCCCACGGATTCTTGAACCAGTTCATCCCTTTTGAACCGGTTCAAGATGGTCAGTCTTGAAATTTTAACATTCTGATGTAGTTGAACTTGTTCGATTGATCTTGAACCAGTTCAAGATGGACAGAATGTAAAACCTTGTTCCGAACCTTTCAAAACCCTTCCTAAATGTTCTCACTACCTCTCAAAATTTCTTATAGCGTTGTTCTCATCATCTCGGAGTGTAGTATACCATGAACACTTGACCTTCTTCAAATCCGCATCCGATCTTTAATCTTTGAAATTTCGTACTGAAAAATTACAACTTGATCAGACTTGTTTTGACATCGAAATTAGCCAATTACAAAATATATCTCACATATAGTACTGATGGATTGAAGGGGTTTGCACTCTTAGCCTTAAAGAGCTAGTATGGAATGAAGGAAGGAAGAAGATGAGAGAGAACGTGCATGCTTGCTTGGTTTGGCGTGGAGGATCTTTAGTTAAGGTGAAGCTATGGAAGGGAACTTTAATTGATAGAATTTGAACGAAGGTGGAGATTGTTAGAGTGTAACCCAAATTTTATTAGATGTAGAATTTTGGAGGAGTTCAACTTGTCCAACTAAGTCCGACCGGGTTGCACTTATTGAGACAAAAGACTGAGGTATTGGAAAAGTTCAACTGGTCTCACTTTTTTGAGACCAGTCGCACGAGTCTAACAATGTGACATTTGTTTCCTTATTTCAAAATGTGCTTTCCTAAAGGTTGTAAACTTGTAGAACGAGTTGTTTCTTTATAATTAAGGAATTATAGATGTAAGGCATGAAGGCACAACGGAAGCATTTAATAAATTTTTTGGATTATGTCCACGTGATTTTTCATCAAATCAAGAAATACTGTAAAGAGATCTCATACCTTTGGACGATTGAATAATCGTCAAATAAGAGAACACAATTCTTTAGCTTTGAATACCAATGAGTCTTCACCTCTATGACCCCAATATAGGTTTTTGGAACCTTAACCTCCTCTTTTACTCTCTGTATATTGTATCGTGTAACGGAATAATAATTTTTTGTCGCAGCGTTACCAAATATATGACTTGAGAGAGTTGATTAAAAGTCTGGGGCTAGAGATGAGGATCCAAGAGCGCTTACTTATCCCAGCTCCAATTTGATAGTGGCTCATAACTCTATCCTATCTAATTAATTACAATAACCACCACAATAGTATTGTAATTGCACTCTAGGACTTAGAAATTATGGCAAGGCCCTGTCTACTAAATAATTACATATAAACCCATCCACTACCGAATATCCATAAATAGCCCTAGGAAAATATATACCATCCCACCTAAGGCTTACTTATATTTTATATTCCTTGAGTAACCAATTTAATCATTATGATCACTGACTTAAAATCTTTTAGAAAAGGATTTGTCAAAATAAATATTTTTCTAAATAAATAATAGAAAAATAATTTAGTAAACATTTTACTAAAATGCCCTGGCCAAGTTCTAGTGATCAAACTTATTAAATTGCATTAAGGGAATATTCTAACTTTTATAAAAAGTGTGGATTCCATGTTGAGTATTTGTGTTCTTAGAGCTCCAACATTAGCCACCCAAGATACCATGATATTGACCTTAAAAAGATCTCACACATTGGTAAGTCAAAGTGACTAGTACTAAAACTTGAGTTCACTAAATCCCTCAGGATTTAGAGCCTATGAATTTAGTAGATAAGAAACACACCAAAATAATGATAGTACATTGTATGGTGTGATCTTATGGTGATCCAGTTCAATGTACTCCAAGCACACTAACACACTACCTTAGAGCCAATTACCCCAATGGTCGAGACAAACCATCCTATCTTATAGAGGTCAAGTGTGTTATAGTCTTATAGATAAAGTGCTTAACTTTTATCACTGATAGCGAACAATGCCAAGGTGCAAGAAACCAGTAAGCCCAAATCTTCTGCGTGTAAATCTCACTTACACACTTAAGTCACATATAATGCAACTTGAGGACTATAATGCATCTCATACAAATATATGTAAAGCCCAATGCATGAATATCATATTTATTAATAAAATGTTGAATAAATAATAAATAATTAGATTGTAGGCATATGTTCCCAACAATCTCCCACTTGCACTCAAAACCAATTACCATTATATCTAACACCCATCCCTTTAACATGAGACTCAAAAACCCTAGTAGGTAGAGTTTTAGTGAAAGGATCTGCAAGGTTATTTGCAGATGCAATCTTAGTGACAACAATGTCCCCATGCTGAATTATATCTCTAATGAGATGATATTTGTGCTCAATATGCATTCCCTTCTTGAGGTTCCTCCGTTTCTTGGACTGAGCAATTGCCCCACTATTATCATAATATAAGATAATAGGAGATCGTGCCAGTGGTACCACTCCAAGCTCTAAGAGGAAATTCTTAAGCCATACAGCCTGTTTAGCTGCCTCTGAAACTGCTACGTACTCGTCCTCTATGGTGGAGTTTGCAATGCAAGATTGCTTCACACTCTTCCAACTAATGGCTCCTCCACCAAGTGTAAACACATATCCTGAGGTAGATTTCCTGTTATCCCTATTTGACTGGAAGTTAGAATCTGTGTAACCCACTGGAAGTAAATCATCATCCCCATAGATCAACATGTAATCTCTTTTCCTTCTCAAATATTTAAGGATGTGCTTCACTGCTATCCAATGTTATTATCTAGGGTTGGATTGATATCTGCTGACCATGCTGACTGCAAAATAGATATCTGGTCTAGTACAAAGCATAGCATACATGAGGCTTCCTACTGCTGAAGCATAAGGAAATACCTTCATACGTTCTTCCTCC